CTCCCCCCCCGCCCCCCCTCCCCCCAAACAGCTGCCTTGGCCACTCGGTCCAGAGCTGGCCCTGTAGGAAGTCAAGGGAACGTGGGAGCTGATGTTAGCTACCCTCAGTGCTCAACTCACTGTAGGTGACTGAAGGGCAGGTTATGTTTCTTCACTCCACAAATATCTACTGCTAGCCTTCTGGTTTCCTGATCTGTGTAAGTGAGCAGGAGGTAGAGACTGCCTGGACACCTACAACTCTGGCTGTGCGTGCAGCACCACAGGAATGGAGATGTGGCCTCAGCCTTGGAAGACCTGGATTTCTCAGCAGCTTGAGAAGAGCTTTTCCAAAATGACACTGGGCTAAACGTACTGCTCCTGGCCAGAGCCATCCCTCAAATACACTCTTCCCCTCAGAAAAAAAGATTCAGTAGCAGGATCCTGGACAGTGTCTCCAGCTCTCAACCACTAAAGCGAAAAGGCAGGAACTATAATCAGAGTGTAATTATCTAGCTATGTCTCACGTGAAGCTCCCCTCAGTCCCTGCAGTACTGCTCACTCCTGGGGTTCCAGGCTGAAACGCAAGTAACAGTGCACACCATTCAACAGGAAAGGAACAGAAAAAGAGGAAGCCAAGACCATGCTCTGGACTATGCGATCTGTGGCCAAGTGTGAGCCTGGCCCATCATCCCCCCTACCCCCTGGCACTCCATGGAGATAGGCGGGAGGAAGCAGCAGGGTCCACCACACCAGTCCCCAGCTGGTCATGCACTGAACGGTTCCCCCAAACAGACCATGATGACAGCCCATTGGTCTGTCCTTCTGCATCACCTCCAGCTGGCTTTCATCAAAAAGAAAACAAAATAGGAATGAACACACGCACCACCCCCTGCACTCAGTGGGAAGCTGGGGGCTTCACTCAGCCTGTACCTCTTCCACCCCAGCTGCTCAGGCACCAGGGGTACCCGCCTGCCCCATGAGTGGACCGCTACCATCGTGCGTGTCCTCCACAGGTGTCTCGTTAGTGTGCACCACGATTGTGTTCTCCTCTACAAGCTCACAGGCAGGGTTGCTGAACGCCGAGAGTGGCAGTGTGATGCGCTGCATTTCACGCTCATAAACTTTCTGTTCATGCTTCTCCTTCAGGTCTTTCCCCCTAGATAATTTAAAAAAAACAAATGTGCAAAGGGTGACTGCCACTGCTTACATGCAGAGTCCCAGAGCGATGCAGCTGAAAGGAAGGGGGTCATCTCTTTAACAAACAGATGTTCCAGCCATATACAGAGGGCCCAGAAACATTCCCTGCTTATCATTGCTGTAAGCAGAACACCCTACATGTGTACCTCTACAAGAAGCAGCCAAGCGGTGTCTTTCCCGCCCTCATAAACTGGCTTATTCACTGACAGAGCTACAGCTAAATCAGGATTGTAAAGCCAGGCTTCTCCTTCAAGCCATAGCACTGACAATTGCTTCCTAGTACTTTATAGTCAGTCTCCTGGCGCTGGCTAGTGCAGGCCCAGGGGAGCAGTGAAACTGCACAGAGCCCACTGCTGTGCAGAAGAGCTTCTGTAGCCTGCTTCATCTGACAGGAACAAATACATCTGTGGTGACAGATTCTGCCTTTTGTTGCAGCAAACAGACTTATGTAGCAAATGAAGCTGTCACTGAAAGTATTAAACTCTACTTTAGAGCTGGCCTTGCTTGCTGCGGCTGCAACAAGCAGCCTGAGGGACCATAACCGGTCCCTCAGACCTATACCTCACTCTTCAGCCTGTTGCTAAGGGAGGTGACACCTCTGTAATTTGCACAGCTGAAGAACTGTGTTGCTTTAAAAATGGATGGCATTAATAGCATGTTGTCTCCAGAAAAGTTGTGTACACCGAAAACCATTGAGCTACTAAACCCATTGAAGGTTTCTCACCACACCCACCCACACCTTGGGTGCAGCTTGGACATGCAGCATTGAGAGCAAGGCACTGGGGAACAAGGGAGAGAGAAGGTAATCCTGCACTGCAGCCCTGCTGCGAGCCGTCTGGGGCTGGAGTGTGAAGTGAAACTGCATTTGGACAAAGCTTAACTTCGGTCTATTGCTCCTTCCTGCTG